GGAGATACAAAAACGTATTTTGGGGTTTTGAAGACCTTCTCTCTAGTAGAACGAGAAAATCTAATCTCCAATGAGAAAAATAGTGGATTGTAAGAGAGAGGTCTCCCCATTATTTGAGAGGTGGGAGGCTATGATTTGAGGGATTGAGAATTTTTTTTTCTCATTAGGGTTGAGTTTGGGAACTGCAGTAGCTACAAGATCTCCAAAATAATAGTTTTTTCTTATTGGGGTTTAAGAAAGGGGACTGCTTGAGATGCTCTAACTTGAATAAAGATTTTAATGAAAAAAATACCATTTAATAACTTTTTAATTGGATGTTCAAGAATGTGCAAAAAAAAAAAAAAACTGTCCGAGAGTGCTTATGCTGATTTGTTGTCCTTAGCTGAAAAGCATTCAAGCGAACAGGGAAAAAAAATTCGACAGCTATCACAAGCGGAACGAGATAAGCCGCACCGCCGCAGCATCGACTGATCGACAGCACGCACCAGCGCACGCCGTAGACGGCGCAGCTAGCGAAAAGCGACGGTGGCAAGAAGCGTCACGCTCAGACCTCAGAGAGAGGCGCGCCGCGCGCGCTAGCTTTGCCCCGAACCCCCAACGGATGCAAACTGAACAGATCAGATCAGGTGTGCCGGACCGGATTCTAGAGAATCTGAAAACATTAGCAGATGCTTCGATTGCTGCTTGCTTCCCCTCGATTCATGTCGGCATCCGCTCCACCGCTGGCGCGTTCGCCTCACGAAAGGCCCATCCGCGCTGTAGCATTGAAACCTCGGCTCGCTTGAGGTGACGCCCGGATTTGTACATCCCAACTCGCCCCACCAATCCAACAAATGGCGTGCCAGCAGTTATCTGTAGAAAAGAACGCGGCAGCTAGAGCTGGAGCTGGATATGTGTTTTCTCCGGTGTCTTCCACTGCATTTTCGGTTCATCATCAGGAGAGTTCCAGCCTGAAGGTTGTTCATCAGAGCGAATAAGGGGCTAGCTATCAAGGGAGGCACTGCAAGAAGGTACATCGCCTACATGCTATCTTTTCACTGTTCTTCTTGACGATGCGTTTCTTGTTCTTCTATTCTAGGTTCTTCGTTCTTGAACTCGTGTTGATTTTGGTTCAGCGAGTTCTCAGATTGACCCGTCGGGGTAAATTGATTCACGCGTTTGGTCATTGGATTAGACTGATGTTCATACATTCCTTTCAGTTCATTTTCTCGCTTTTTGCACCCATCATCGTGAAATATTACGAATACGAGGAGTTTTTCAAAACACACATGTGCACCAGCTTGCACGGGCTGGATCAGTTCCATGGAGTATCACGTAGAGCAATGGAACGACTTAGCAGAATTTTCACTCCATATGGAAGCTTGTTCAGTTGCCATGCTATGAACCGCAGTAACATAACTCCTCAGTGCCATAATTCTTACCTCCTAGCCTTGTACACTTTATCCTAAATTAGTTATTATTCTCATTTCTTAAAACATCTTTCTTTTTTTCTAATACTCAATCTATCCCAAATTGTAAGACGTTTGACTTTTTTGACACCAAGTTTGACCAATCGTCCTATTTAAAAATGTGTAAAATATCACTTCTTTCGTCGTGGTTTGGTTTATCAATAAAAATTCTTCAAGAATGACTTAAATTTGACTATATTTGCACAATTTTTTTTAATAAGACGAGTGGTCAAACTTGAAGCAAAAAAAGTGAAACGTCTTACAATTTGGGATGGAGGGAGTACATCTTTATCTCTCTCTCTCTCATTTTCTGTGCACTAAGAGCATCTCCAAAGTATATTACCTAAAACAAGCCCCTACTTCAGATTTGAATGCTCCTCTTACTTTTCTGGCCCTCAATAACTACTCCAACTTCAGCAATAGCTCTCGAAACAAAGCACCTATTTCTATATGACAAGTGGGACCCGCTCGCCAACGAGATTGTTTTTATCTTCTTTTCTTCTTCCCTCGACTACACTAGGAAGAGGGTGTGCTGAGAGGGCGTCGCACCAGGAGAGGAGAGCGCCGCCGGGAAGGGGCTACGCCAAAGGCAAGCCCGAGCAGCCGGGAAGGCGCGAGGGACGGCGATAAGACGAGGATTGACCGCCGAGGAGGCCCATCGGTTATGGGCTGGAGGTGAGGCTTGCCGGGCACATGAGGAGGCGTCGACTGATGTCGGGCGAGAGCAAGGGCGGTTGGGCGTTGGCGCGAGGGAAACTGCCGAACAACAAAATAGGGGGGCGTCAATTTGCCCAGCAAGAATGGGTAGTGAGGAGAGGAATTTGAATGGCCAAACAAATTTGAGGGGCAAAGTAGGTAGCTTATTGGAGAGGAATTTTTCCAATACTCAAAAAAGAGGAGACTTATTTGGGTAGTATGCTGGAGATGCTCTAAGAGGTGTGTTTACTTTTCAATCATGGAAAGACAACAACACTAGACGTTCAATTTCAAACGCTTAGAGTTGGAGGATGTGCTTACCTGGCCGCGGTTCCCAGGGGAGGCACCAAACAAAACACTCTTTAACTCTTTTCCACTCCACCTTAATTGCTGTGCTCAAAGCTAAACGACATCTAAGGCCAGTCTCAGTGGGTGTATGTCACCGTTTCCAAGACTTCTATGTATTGGAAACAGTGTAGACAAGTTTTATCCACATAAAACTTATTTCATCCAGAAAACTTTTATCATATCTATTTTTATTAATACTATACCATATAAGTTTATTTAATGTCTATGAAACTCTTATAAAACCCTATCGAGATTAGACTAACAGAGAACGGGAGCAGTGACGTTTAATATATTATATATATATATATATATTTAGACCAAAGGTATTCACCCCACTTTATTAGAGAGCGTAACGATTACCAATGGTCTGAGGCTGGGGACGGGTTACAGGAACGCACTAAGGCAAAAGCCCAGAACTTCTACCAACAAACTCCAACTAAGAACTCAACAGATAGCTCAAAAACAACTAGGGAGAAAAGAATTCAGGTGGGGGGAGAAACAAAAGACTACGCAAACAACATCCCCAAACTGGATTACATAGACGCAACTCTCGAGGAGATATTATTCAGCATTCCGTCCGCCATCGGCATCATCTTCGGCTTGAGCAGGGGGCGCCACGACTTGGCCAGCAGCAAAGCCTTGTAGATCAGGGTCGACGGGGACGACACCACCTTCTTGTCGAAAACCAACTCATTGCGAGTTTTCCAAATATACCATAAGGCTCCTGCACATATGAATATGGTTAAGAGTTGTTTGTTACCTCTATACTGATCCACTATCTCCAAGAGTAGCGAGGAACAGCTGGTTGGCGAGGATGGCCACCCCAGACAGTCTCGCAAGAAGGACCACAGAAGGACAGCCAGGGGGCATTGGAATAAAATGTGATCCGAAGTCTCATCTACTTCGCAAACAAGACATTTCTCAGAACATGTCCATTTTTTCTTTTTTAACTGCACACCACATTGTATTCTGTCGTGGTTTGCCATCCACATAAAATTTTTCACTTTAAGAGGGATGGGGCTTTTCCAGATCAACATAGCACTAGCGTCAGCCATACCCCCAGTTGTGAGTGATTTATACAAGGATCTTGTAGTATACTGGCCAGATTTCTCCAAAGCCCAGACCATCTTGTCCATACCTTCAGTTAACTGAACCTCATTTAATATCTCTAAGATATATATATATATATATATATATATATATATATATATATATATATATATATAAGGTGGAGTTTCTAAAAGTAGCAGTATTCAGAGATACCGACTGATCGGATTTTAGGCCCACCTCATCTAATTTCTGGGTTTCTGGCCATCATCAGCACATGCCCACTTCCAATCGAGTCTGTAAGCCTGGTGCGCTTCTTCTTCTTCTTCTTCTTCTTTTTTTTTTTTTTTTTTTTTGCGAGGAAAGCTTAGGTATGGTTCTTTTCCCGTTTCCTCAAAGCGGCGAGAACCGAATCCTCTTTTACTCTAGGGCGACCACCGCCGAGAAGGCCACGGCAATGGCTTTGGAGGCTTCTTTGAGTGCCGCACCTCCCGCACGGGACGGACACGCCACGGCTCCACGTCTCTGACGCCGGGTATGGCGGAAGCAGGAGCACGCGGTTTTGGGCCTTGTTTAGATGCAGTTCAGTGGTAAATGGGTAAAAAAATAACTAATTACACAGTTTAGTTGGAAATCACGAGATGAATCTTTTGAGCTCCATCGAGTTCCTTCCCGCTCCCTCAGGCTGCACATGCTTGTTCGCGTCGCTCACGGCTCACCGTCTTGATGGCCAGCGCGCGATAGATCGGCGGAGCCTTCGGGCACGCTCGTCCGTAAGAGACTCCCGAAGCCATGACTTTCATAGTCTAGCCGACAGGATATCCAATACTACGAATGGATTTGGACCTCGCCATACTCGAAATTGGGGTAGAGCATGTACTTTTTTATTGTCATGGCAGTCGCTAGTTTTTTCAGATTAGATGAGTGTTTTTTTCATCTTGGATTGAATATTGATCTGATTTGTCGTACATCACTATGCACTATGCACTATGGAGTAGACTGCCTTGTGTGTAAATGTTACAAAACGGATTTTACTTGTATTTTAATATTAGTTTTGAATAAGATGGTAACTTTGGGAGATTTCAATTAACGCCTTGTTTAGTTCCACACCAAATTTCAAAAAGTTGCTACAGTACCTGTCACATCGAATGTTTGCGGCCTGTGCATGGAGCATTAAATGTAGACGAAAAGAAAAACTAATTGCACAGTTTGGTGGGAAATTGCGAGACGAACGTTTTGAGCCTAATTAGTTCATGTTTGAACACTATTTGCCAAATAAAAACGAAGGTGCTACAGTTACCCCAAAATCCAAATTTCGCGAACTAAACAAGGGCTAAACTTGTCAGTAAACCTTGTTTGATAGCAACAACAACTTATGTAATCCGTAACTTTCTAACTCTGCTGTTTCAGAATATGCTTGATAGCTACACTTCGTAGAGGAAGAAGTATCCAGCAGGAAGAATGGATGAGACAGGGGATACTCTGAGGTCCTGCATGGAGCAGCTGCTCCTTGTCAGGAACGAGAAAGAGCGGCTTATAATTGAAGCAACCAATAAGATCTCTTCCGAGCAGAAGAAGACGCTACATTTACAGCAGAAGTTTGAAGATGCAAACAAACAGTTTGAGAAGGTCATCACAGAAAACTACAATCTTTGCAACATTGTTGCCTCAAAGGACAAACTGATCGAAGAGCTGAAAGAATCCAAAGCACATTCGGACCAGAAGTTGACCGATGCAACTGCAAGGCTTGAATTTTCGCAGAAACAATGCGCCTCCCTTCAGTACGAGGTGCGCGTGCTTCAGGAGGAGCTTGAGATTCGGAGCAAAGAGCGAGAGTATGACCTCAAATCAATAGACGCTGCTCGGAAGAAGCAGCAGGAGAGCACGAAGAAGATCACTGCACTAGAAGCAGAATGCCAGAGGCTGCGGACCATGGTTCAGAAGCGTCTGCCAGGTCCTGCGGCGTTGGCAAAAATGAAAGATGAGGTCAAGCGACAAGGTTCTAGTGCCGCTGAGAATGGAACAAGAAGGCCCCGTGCAGGTGCAGCAGTGCAGCCACAGCAGTCGAGGCATTCCATGTCTGAAGGTCACCTAGTCAAGCTGCAGGAGTTGGGTGATGAAAACAGACAGCTCAGGCAGTTATTGGCCCAGAAGGAGAGCGACCTGCACTTTGTGCTTTCGAAGTACGCAGACGAGGCATGCAAGCTGTCAATACTGCAAAGGCAGCATGGAGAGTTGTCTGGCAGTCACAGTTTAATAGAGAATAACCGTCCAAAACCAATGGTGAGTGCATTTGCCAAGACAGAACACTCCATATCTGGGAAGCAACAGGTGTCTAAGATTAGGAGTAGGAGCAGAAGAATCACAGGATCTGACATGCTATTGGTTGTTGATCCTCTAGATATTGAGAAACTAGAGAGGACATCCAGACCTTCAAGTGCCCCACATCAGTGTGTCGATTCACCTGATACAGACTCAAAAATGATGGCCTCAGACACATTTCATAGAGAGCTCATCCCTGATGGTTTCTCTGACAAGTACCCCGAATGGATTCAGGACATTTTGAATGTAATCAGACATAAGCATCAAGGCAGTAAGATAAGTGTTGATGTTATTCTTGATGAAGTAACACATGCACTGAAGAATGAGATATCTGCCAAAGAAAATGATGGTGCACACTTTTCCTATGACAGGGCAGAAATAGACAAAATGGTGGCTACTCTGATAGAAAGAGTCAGCAGCATGGCTGAAATATCTACCAAAAACAATGTTATGAGTTTTCGATCACTTTCTCATGAAAAGTCTGAACTCACTTTGCGACTGGAGCATCTAGTTCATGTCTGCAGTGACGTATTAGATGGAAAGGCTAATCTTGAAAGGCTCACTGATGAAGTTTGCTTGATCCTAGAGTGGATAGTGAGCCGATGCCTTTTATGTTCTGATGGACTAGACATTGTGGACTACATAACAAATAATTCAGATGGAAATGAGTCCCAAAGGACATTAAGCATTCATGAAAAAGATATAATGCAGAGTACAAGATCAAAAATGGTTTTAGGAACGCAACAAGAGAGACAAAGATCGGTTGAAACAACTGATGACTTGATCCCTGATGTAATATTAGAAAACCATTCTCAGATTGAGTTGATCACTTCTAAGCTTGTTGAGGACTTAGTGGCTCTTAGACAAGAGGAGGGTGATACTTGTCAGGAACAGCATCTGGTATGCTGTGAAGCAAAAAGGTATTTATTTTACTATTTTTGTATCATGTTATTATTTGCAGAATTATAGTGTGCATAAGCAATTCCGATTATTTGTGATGCAGTGCTGCTTCTGACGGGAGCAAAGACAAGTTAGTAGAAGAAGAGGGAAACCAGCTCACAACGGTAATCTCGAATGTCCTTATCCTGACCTCTTTCCTTTCTGCAAGCACAAAGTCTATCTGTACACAAACAGATCTTGTCTATGAGAATTTAGCACAGAGAAAAATGGCAATTCCAAGGACATTTCCGATGATTCCCTGGACATTCCATCTTTTATAGAGATATGGACTGAAAAAATTATAATGATTTTGTCTCTTGCAGACCTCAGCAATATCTGCAGCAGCCAGGAAACTTGCAGAATGCCAAGAAACAATGGCAAATCTAAGTAAGCAGTTGCATGCTCTGGAAAGTCCGGCAAATACAGATCCATCAGATAAAGAGAAATGTGGTACCCTGCCCCCGTCAGCTGAGCCTGATGCAACCGAGAAGAAAGAACACGGCGAGCCTGATGCAAATGCAACTGAGAAGAAAGAACACGAGCAAGATTCTGGCCGAAGTCTACAGTCTGCTAAAAGTGCTTCGACCCTGGTCATTGTTCGTCCGACGGTCCCGAAGTCACCCCGACCATCCGTTTCTGTTGACACAAAAAAGAAGAAGCGGCGTGCTAATCTTCTGGGCAGGCTTGTCTTCAGAAAGAAAGCATAAAACTCGGACTACAAATCTCAGCGTCGACAAAGCATAAAACTCGGACTACAAATCTCAGCGTCGACCTCAAAATTAAGTCATCAGTACAGTTGTTCAGCACTTGGGAGCTCGTTCTTGCGTTTTAAGTTATATACCTCGACTGGTCTTAAGTTATTTCCAATTCCAATAAAAACGAGCATACTACGGATATGGTGTGTAATTTATTGGGTATTTATTTGGATGTAAGCAATGCTGTGCTTGAGAAATTTGTGGAAACTTGTTCAGTCCAGAAGCATGTGTAATACTGTAAATCGGTACCCTACCCTTTGGATTAAATAAATATCTGTATTCAGAGCATTTTTCCACCGGATTAAAGAAATACAATTCCCTCTATAATTAGTGATAAAGGAGATTGACAGTAAAAGAAATGAGCTCCAACTGAACCCCTCTTCAATTCCCTTTTCTCGAATTTTGTCTGAATTCCTCAAAAGTTCCTATCTTCCGTAAAGAAAGGGGAGCAACCAAGATATTTTTCCCATATAAAGTTGGTTATTTAAGGGTCTATTTGGTAGAGCTCCCATGTGAGTTGAGGATGGCTTAATAGAGCGGAGATAGTAAGAAAATGGTTTCAACATACTAAGTGAAGGTGAAGGACAAACAACAGCTTGGATGCCAAGGGACCATGGCTAAGATGAAGAAGATACTACTTGCATTGAATCGAGACACCAATCAAGTACGAGGAGTCATATCTTGAGGAGAATCAATCATTGTTGAATCATATGAAGAAGTGACTTTGAACCATGAAGTGAATTTATGTGTTGAAATAGTTCAATTTACACGCTTAAGTTGGCTTTGCTCAGCATGGTGGAGAGAAGTTTGCTGCAATTCTTGAGAAGACAATTGAGAAGAAATGACATTTGTGAAGATATAAAGCTCAATCGATTTGAATGGTTTTTCATTTAAACTTGAGTTCATAGGTATGTCATACTATCAAGAGGGATGCAACATGATGAGAATTGATAAATCTCTAGCTCACAAGAAAACCCATGTGAAATCTAAGAAAGAACCACCCAAATACTAACTTGTGTGTGCTATAGGGCGTGCATACCAGACAGTCCAATATGCCATACCGGACAGTCCGGTATGAACTGTCAACAGTGTTGAGGTTTTGATTTTTCAATCAGGGGTTCTCTCTGGATCGAAACTTTTGATGGAATTTCCGACCAGGGGTTCTCTGTCTTGGAGGGTTGGAGTTTCTGGGATGATTAGAATTTCTGAGGCTTGATTTTTCTAAGGCAACGTATCAGGTGCAAACCAACCAACCTATGAAAACTTGGAAACTACCAATCAGGACCACTAGATACTGATCCAATGGATGGGGTGAGAGGTGGTATTTTTTTGCGCTTAAGCCCCCCACCCGCCGGCCTTTTTTTTACGCTTAAGCCCCCTCACCTCATCCATTGGATCAGCATCTAGTGGTCCTGATTGGTAGTTTCCAAGTTTGCACAGCTGATATGTTGCCTTTTTCTGATGGCTAGTTGAGGTCATACCGGCAAGTCAAAGATCTCATTGAGCATTTGTTACTCTAGGAGGTCAAACCTCCTAGATGGTTAGGATTCGTCCGACTAGCTTCCGAGCTTGTGGGAGGCCACAAGCAAGTTTGTGAAGGCTTTGATCTTGCCTCTGAAAGGAAAAAGATCAAACTAGTGGATCGAGGAAAATGATTTGAGAGCAGCCTGGATAGAATTTTATCACGAATGATCACCAACGACTTCATCAACTGAGATGTAGGGTTTAAGTGGGAACTCAAACTTCGGTGATACAAATCCTTGTCTCCTTTGTGCTCCAAAAATTGTACTAAGCAAAAAAGCAGCGTCTTCTTGAAAAGCAATTTCAGGTTTCACGTGTTTAATTAGCGTTATGCTTTTTGGTAGTAGAAGCACTTTCTAGAAGATGAAATAAATTCATCCTTAGTTTTTACAACTTTGAGAAACTTGGTATTGAACTAACTTATGCTTTTAAGTTGTAATTGTCACAAACGTCTATTCACCCCACTCTAGGAGAGATGCTTGGTCCTTTCACATCTGTACCATGTGTCATGTGGGAGATATAGATGTTGTATTTTTTTCAATATGCTAGAGCAACCATCCCCTGTAGAAAATTTTAGGAGAAAGGAGATCTGATGGAGCTGCTTTAATAAATGTAGATACTTAGGAAATAATTTGCATAATGAGATGTCATGATGAAAAACTTTGTGCGATCATTAATCTAAGCTGGCAGCTGCTACTTCTTGTGTGTAACTCTGAGAAATGAGAATGGCATACACATTGGTCATTGGTGGGTGCTTTTCCCTCTCTTCATATTTCTGGTAGAAGGCAAGAGCACACGTAGGCTTTCATTCATGAGTATGGACGACCATTGCAACAAGCGGTGTATTGTATATATAACTAGAAGCATACGCCGCGTGTTGCTGCGGAAATTATAGATAATTTAGAATGAAATTAGATTACATATAATTACTTATAGGAAGAGATAAACTATTATAAATTAATATAGTGGTTGACATGGCACATTGATATGGACAACTAAATACTTGTTAGTGGATAATGTGTCTCACTAACGTGGATATCATAATTACATGTGCTAATGGACTATAATTGCATATGACACTATGGATGGCTGAGAAGGACAACTTGCATGTTGAGATAAGACTCTAGTGGGGTTTAAAATTATATATATATATATATATATATATATATATATATATATATATATATATATATATATATATATATATATATATCCATTTATATAATGTTGTGTGATCCACTACATTATCATGCTCTAATCCATTTGTAGGTGCCTAATTTAAATCAACGTAAATGGAAAATAAAAGCCCCTTTGAAGGTTAATATTTTTTATGTGCAGAGGAGTAGTGGTTACAAAAGATAATTTATTCAAATGCAACTCGTAAGGTAGAAAAACGTGTTGTTTTTGTAAAAAAGAAGAAACACTTGTTCTTTGATTACTAGTTCGCCTGGGCTGTTTGGTCAATAAATGAGGTGGCCTCAGATCTTACTGAACCTTGTAGCGTGTCAAATATATTTGGCAATTGGCTAGAAGGGATTAGTAAATATTTAAAGCCTTTGTCGTACTAGAGGTGTCCACCACCTGTTGATTATGTAGGAATGATTTAGTTTTTGAAAAGAAAAAAAATATTGGTCGTAATGGAGGAATGATATAGTTTTTGAAAATAAAAAATTCTTCTCCTTTCAAGTTATCCTCTTGGTTATTCATTGGCACCATATGTGGGCTATCCTCCAAAAGCCGAACACAAAAGATTTGGTTGTGGTGGTTTTGCGTGTGGCCATGGTTATCTTCTCCCAGGCACATGGATAACGCTCTAGTCTTCGGATTGATAGTCACTAGAGTGTGTGTGGTTTACTCTTTTGATGATTGTGTGCTTTCTGTCAGACAGAGACCAGAATAATTGTTTTCAAGGTTTTGTATCAACTCGATGTAATATACTTAAATATTAATAAAATCTTCCTTTATAAAAAAAAACTCAATGCAACATGACTATAAGGCATACTAACAAGCAAAACCACAAAAACTTTCATGCCCAACACTAGAATGTGCACTTCATGGAGCACAAGCTTATTACCTTCCGTATGTATGAGTGCTCCACAAATTGCTAAGGCGCGTGTTAGCAGCAGTTGAAGCATTGAATTGATGAAAGAAAATATGACCAATAGAAAACTATTCATCAGACAACTAATTATATATGATTCATCTTCTTCCACCAAAAATTAAAGGACAATCACTGGTGATAGCATCACATGCAAAGATATGGTAAAATTGTCACCAAATATTATTAGAAACTGAAGCAAACAACATCTCAGCCTCAATAAAACAAATGGTATGGAGATCAAGTCACACAACCAAACATCAACAAACATATAGTTCATGAAAATGGAGCATCATCAGATGGTTTGATGCAGTGCAAAATTCTTTGCGCATTTTTCCTTAAACAACAACATGGAAATTTGTGGATTGAATGCTGTCATACACCCTCTCATGAAAAATTATTCCCCCCCACAGTTAGATAAAACCAGGGGGTAGCTTATCCATCTCATGGAGCATGGGACGATATGCAGTAGAAGGCCTCCTACTCCTTCCCCTTTGTCTTCCTCTTCCTCCTCCCATTCCTTCAGTACTAATAGCCTTGCTGTGCTTGGTAGAAGTCCCTGTAATTTTTTTCAAACATGAAGTATATAATAATAGACCTCAAATATAGCACTACAAATCTCCATTTTAAATGTAATAAACATTGATTTTATAACCACATTATAGACATAATGGAATACGGGTAAGATCTTTTAAGTGCTGTAGAAAAATAAACAATGCATATAAAGAATTCATACCACTACTTTCAACATCATTAGAATCCACTGCACTCTGCGATACCAAAGAACATATCAAAACAATGTTTAGTATTGTACCGTCTTTTCTAAATACCAAAGAGCATAAAAGATGTCACTGACAATCCATATTTTCAATTTATGCACTTGTGCTTTTAATGTGACCAAACACTGCACTAAACAGTAGATGTAATTGAAAATTTAACTTTCTATCTACATACTTCAAACTTTAAAGCACAAGAGGGAATAATCTACTAATGGGAAAAAAACCTACAAGAACTAATGGAGTTTTCTAAAAAAAGAAGTGGCTACCTTCTTCTGCAGTTTTCTTCCATTGAACATATCTACTCCTTTTGACGATGCTTTTGGAAGCAAGTCAACTTTAGGTTTGGAGTGAAACTTCTTCTTGTAATCCTGCTGAGAGTAAAACTACAAGTCAATTAAAAAAATGTTACTAGGTTTTTGGTTTTGGACTAAGCATTTGCAAGTGAAATTGCATATCAAGCTAATGGTGCATACAACCCAATATAACACATCTCATCAAGCTAGTAAAACAATATGTTTAATCAATCATATGCAAGTTGGAGTCTAGATTATTGTTAATTTGGTGCCACTGTATAGCCAGATTTAGAGAATTACATTGTAATGTCGATGCACTATAATGGTTAGATGGAAGAATATGACAAAGTCCACCTACTGAAATAGGACACTACTTCCTAATGGTAATTACCTTTTTACATTATGTTTCTAATTACACCAATCTACCCCTTTTATGTCTAAACTTATATCTCATGAAATCTTTCTAGTTTAGAAGGTTATCAACAATTCTGTACTTTTATTATCACAATTTGAAACACTCATTAATATCATGGTTTCCCTATGTTTATATGTGTGAAAGTTAAGCTTTCTAGTTCTTCATAGTTTCTTCTAGTAGCAATAGAGCTTTTAGACTACTTGATACTTCTTAATTATTCATTTGATCTACATTGGAGATAGCTTTCACATTTGTATTTTGAAATGTGATCTCGCAACAATATATTAGTCTAACACACATAATGTTTATTCTACCATTGTTATCGTCTCCCTCACAAATTCCTTATCGGTGGCATCATTGAGGTCCCTAACGTTCTAGATGAGTAGAAAGAGATTGGTACTAATCATTTCCACCTTATATGAAATGCCATAGCAATGTAATCTGAAGTCATAGCTAGTCACAAAATGCAACATACTAATAACGAAGCCTCAAATACACTTCCCCAACATCCTAAGAACCTATAACATGCACTCATTGACCTCATATAACTCAGAATAAAAGACTGGTTCCCTCTCACCACAGGGCTCCCACTAGGAATACAACCAGCTTAGATACAGGACTATCCTTACTACTATACAATATATCTGCACAAGTAATAGGCTGACTGTGACATGATTTATGGCTAACATAGGAAACAAGGGGTCTACTAGGTACTTGGTTCGACATCATCTCTCTACATCGTGATCTTCTCCACATATGTCGCCTGTTCTTCAGCAGCAAACTAACCCACGACATTAATAGCTTGGCCACTATATAGTGAAGTGAGCATACTTACCATGGCAATGGCCTTCAGTAGTAGCAGTGTACAAAAGGTCCTACTCTATGCTCCCATGGCAAGTTCTCCAATTAGCTCGTTTGCTGCTACTGCATCAAAGGCTCTAATCAGGTGGTTTCTTGCTCTCTTTGACACTAGGACCAAGCAAGTCGTTTCCTTCTACGTCTGGTGCCCCTTTGTAGGCCTTCATTTGCTACCTTGCCATCCATGTTTTGTCCACCTTTTCTACACATCAATCTCTAGGGGTTAGAGCCACTAGGACTGGCTACCCCACCACAACAAAAGTCCTATCAACGATGTTGGTTCTGGAGCATCCACAGCACCTAGGTCAATATCGACTACCTAGGCCGTTAATTCTGACGTGATCAAGATGATTCGTAGGTCCTAAATGAATGTCATTCTCGCAGCCCTGAGTAGTCGCCTTAGTGTTCAACTATGCAACTATATCCTAGGTGGACTCCAGTGGGGTATACTCTCAAGATAGAATGATGTCATTCAAAGGAACCCCTTGGGAAAGTGGAGAAGGAAAGCTCCCTATTGATTTCCCATTTGCACATGTCTGCCAGCTCCCAAGCATGGGGCCCCAATCCATTCTAGAGTAGTAGGGATCAACCTACATACTATCATGCATATAGATTATCAAAAATCTAGCGTTGGATTGGGATGTAGTGGTTGTGGAGGTAGGACCCCCATAACTAATCATAGAGCTCCATTGATAAGCACAAAGCCAAGGCCCACCTTTGATATAGAGTGGAATTTCTTGTGAATCCGCTCTCCACACTACAACTCACGCCCACTCCTGTCATTACCAAAGGACATGCTTTCCATTGTTCTCTTCTATGTGTACTGGTTCGTCATAGTGTATGACACTAGTTGGTGAGCGCAAACTATGATGGTCCTAGTCTACGTCATCACATAGTGGTAGGTCCCCTACATGCTGAGATTTTGGGACAGAGCATTGTAGGCTCCTTCTGTAGTCCTTGCCATAGCCTAGCACCGATGTCTGGCCAGTGAGCGTGTTCGCTAATGCTTTCCTTCTCCATGGTGGTCACCACCCCCGGTGTGGCGAAAAAGATTGAGCACCTAGCGTCCATGCTCTACTAAGCAAATAAGGCCTCTCCTCTACTCATGATCCTCATACTCATCTTGTTGGCATCACTGAAAATGTCACCGTGGAGGTATACAAACCTGAGTTCCAAGCTAGAGTGAAGTGTTCATTCAACACCCTAATAATTGAGTTGTCAAAGTTGTGGATACGCAGGTACTCGCCAGAATCAGAGGACTCCAAAGATGAAAAGCCAGTTGGATGGGAGCTTGTACTACGAATGCGCAACAGACTCTAGTCCTCATGAAAGTCTAGATAGATGAGCAGGTCGAATACCTCCTTGTTCTTCTGCACATTCCTAGCTTGCTTTGGAGCCTGGCCAAGTGGCCAATGTGCTATGGGAATATGGCATCCTCTTGGACTGTGGAAGGAAATTTGGGCTTTACATCCAAACCCACCACTAAAACTCATCCATAGCATCCTAGAAAAAGGTTCTAGTCATAATCCAACCAAGCAAACAATTCTCCCCTAGCACGTCCTTAGCCACCAAGCCGTTCCACATGCATGCACCAGTAAGTTCTCGATGGCAACACGAACGTGGTATACCACCAAGTGATCTCCATGTCATGGATGGATATTGAATTTGATTCCCTCTATGTGTATGATCCCAACATAGAGAGAGATATCACACTACATGGGGTAGTTAACAAGGGCGAGGAAGTTTTTCGTGTGACGGTGAGCCATCCACATTTGAATCAAGGCACACATATCATGTTGATGACCACCTGTGTGACAACCATGGTAGATGAATGCTCCCACTTTGTAGCACGGGCCACCATTAGCATCGCCCTGGTGTGGTTCTTGGTGATGTATGTCATGGATTAGGAGGAAAGCACTATCCATGCCCTCCACTATGCAGTTCTTGTGGCATATTCATAAAATAGGGCACTGTTTTCACTTTGACACTTTTCTCGACCCCACTATAGATGGAAGAGGCAAGAAGACAAACTGATTATGGATTAAAGGTGAGGCAAGAGTGAATGGTGGATTAGAAAACAGTAGATGGGAGTGGATTAGGGAGGGCAGTGTGCGCCCTCCCTCTTCTCTAGCCAATCTTGGGGCAAGGTAGTCATATTAGAGGTAGGCCTAGGCTCAACAACAAACATGATGTCAACAAGATGTGAGTTAATGGTTGTAGCCAAGGCACCAAAAGCACCAACCTTAGAAGTAGTCCTTATGGCTTGCTAGCAATCCAATGTCAATACGGGCCTAGAGTGACCACTTAATGGAAGATGGTGAAGAATTAATATCCTTGCTCTTCCTCCACCACTACGTCAATTTCATTCCTTGGTAGTTCAGTGTAACAAATAGTCGAGCAGGTCACATGCATACTAAAGGCAACTGCCTAAAAACATTACCGTCACGGCCTTGCACGTTGGCCCCGCTATTAAAGTTATGTTCAATACCTAGGGCAAGAGGAGAGCAGGGGATAGAGTATTAGGAGAGAAAGGTACATCAATTACCTGTGTTGTAGTGGTGATGGCACGCGTGCCCTGGACACCTGCCTGTGTGTCAGGCAAAGTTAAGGCATCTCCTATGCCCTCATCTGATTCGGTGTCTGAGCCAAGGCCTAGATGCGTCTCCTCCCTTACTGCTTCTACATGCTTGAAGGTGGCCACTTGAATGCTTCCCATTGGTAGCACCACCCCGGGGCAAGTGACACTCTCTAGAGCACTAGTTGTACTCCCCAGAGCATCAATAGCCACCGGCGCGACCTCATGGGGTGCCGAAGATGGGCAACATGTGGGGAGCGCCATAGGAGCCTGATCCTCCTGTTTTAGATCTAGATCGACCCCCTGAAACTTACCTTCCTTTGGATCAAGATTTTTGAAGGCACCATCTTCATCATCAATAGATCCCCAGTCTAGATCGTTGCGGGAGTCCTCCGCTGTGGCATCGGACTGGAAGAGCCTAATCGACTCATCCCTTGGTGCATCAGAGTTGGCTGTGGAGGCCATGATGGTGACAAGCGCATGCGTCGGGTGGGAGGCGGCTAGGGCTAGCGCCCTGGCATCGGGGTTAGTCATTGGGGGCACAAATGTCACCGGTGGTTGCGTTGGGTGGGTGGTGGCCGGGGTTGGTGCCCGAGTTCTCTCGCTCTCGCTCATGTCTTTTGCCTCTGCGATTGATTTTGAGTTGTAACAATGTTCCATGCCTCCCTTCCACTAGAGGCAAAGGGTGCTACCGATGGCTATGTGACAGCCAACATAGAGCATTTAATGCTTTGGTTGCTTAATGGTCCCATGCTAGCAAAGGGGCCCATGAGGAATAATCCAGCCAAAAGAACTAGTTGACATGGATATAATATGAATAGTTGGGTCTAAATGAATGATGAAGATCAAATACCTATCATGTTGTGCAAATGTAGATTGAGATTTTGAGGATTTAAATATTGTTATCGGGGATGAACTACATATATACTATAGATTATAAACCATTCATTTTTACAACATAAATAGTATGGTTCTAGCCATGAGTAGAAGGTGTACTACTACCAACTTTCAACCCACTATCAGACTGATTAGATTATTATGTGTCATGTCTTCCAACCTTAACTTGACTGTAGAGCTCCGAAAAGGCAATTCCATATATTGTTTACATCTAAATCATAGCAATGTAGTGATACAACTGTAAAGCTGCCTAGTGGAGATGTGCTCTATATGGAATATCTTATTTTTAAATATTCCATATTACACTAATTAAATATATACCAACAACAAATTGAGGTCACTATACAACTAAACATTTCTTTATTCCTCTTATTCATTTATTCCTTTTAGGTACGCATGATTCTTCATCTTCTCTTATTCTTCTGAGGAACCTACCACTAGTGTTAATATTAAAGACAAATCGAAGAGGGAGGAGAGGCAAGGGAGGGCATGGATGACAAGGCGACCTAGCTAAAAGACAACCCCGCCTCTATTTTGGGTTGTGGCACCGTGCAATTCGAGCACATAGTGGCAGCGGATGCTCGATGGCCTACGGGAGCAAGATCATGACCAAGGGCCATACAAAAATACTCTACCTGGTCCGTTATTCATAAAGTATTTAGGCAGTTCCAATCACCCTTTGTTCAATCTTTTGTGGCTGATATCAACAAATTATTTTATTTTTCTTTAGTTTGTGTGGACAGGACAAAGCCATTTATTGTACACTAATTAATTGCATTTCTCATTTCTTTAAATGTCCACCTGTCGAATATATGGGCCTAGGGTACCATCACCAACCATATATTCGACCTATGACAGTTCGGTGGGCTGAGGACATCAAATCCCACGAAGACCAGGTGAATCTATCAGCTTGGAGGTCAAGGCATATCGAGGATATCTGGCACCGTCGTATCTAGATGGTAGGATAGAATTGATCTGTTACGCATTCCATGTAATAAACTAGGAATCCAATCTGTTAGCCAATCACCCTCATTGTAACTGTCGACATGGAATTTTCATCCCGTGCCGAGGACACACGCAGCAAGCCGGAAGGGTCCGCTCGCTAGAGCAGATCCGCCTAGCTTCAGCGCAGGGATGGTCGATCCTGCGCAATCCTCCCGAGACGTGCCAGTCAATTTGACCCTACAATTGACAAGGAGAGAAAGTTCATCAGTAATTAAGGGCGGAACTTGCCGGTGTTGCCAGACAGTCCCGAATGTGCGGCTATGAGAGCCGATATGAAAGGAGATCGACTAAATAGTCGATTCCAGTATATTCATGAGAATAAATCAATTAAAGCTCATTGGGTTGTATAAGAAGAATCGGTTATCATTCAGGGCAAATATTATTAATCGAACATATATTAATCAATGGCGATAAGATGTCAACAACGATCGGTTTGTGCTGAGCCAATGATTACAAATAACCGAACCCCTTTTTATATAAAGAAACAATTCAACATCACTTAACCGTTTAATAAAGATAAATCTAATGAACATGTTAGATCTCATCTATCACTATGACCAGTGGGGCATGAGGCAGAATAATGCAGGCCGTAGAAATAACAATAGACTCAACGACCCTAACTCAATACTAATATCAGTGGAGCATGAGGCAGAATCATGCGGGCCATAATACAATAATAAGATCATAGGGCTAATATATCTTTCAACCTATCTTCACTTCAACGGTCTCATGACGCGAACTGTTCGTGAAAGCGCTCAATATCGGCTAAAACAGCCGATTCAGGCATAGCGCACAATTAAAGTCATGCTTTATCAAGAATAGATTTACCAGATAACGGTCCCCACTCCACAGTACTAACAGTGGGGTGTGAGGCAGAATCACACATGCCATGATAACGGGCCATGGAATGGTTCTCGCTAGCCAATAAATCTACTCAAGACGCAACACGCCTTAATCACACGCTATGCAAGATCAGGATTGACATAAAACATCTGATAAAACATAACTCATCGTTTAAGGTGTAGATTAGATCAATTTAAGATTAGCAAACGATGGGCTAAACAAGATATAAGGCCGATCTAGATCAATCCTAATCGGGCAGAGTGATATTGCTATAATTAGGTAGATAATAAAAGCAATAAGCAATATTGGTAACTTAATGAATCTACCAAAGACTGTCATTCTAAGGTGGAGCCGATAACTTGACCTTGATCTAGTTCATGTAGTGGAGGTTGATCGAATCGATGCAGCCATACTTGAACTAGGCAAGAATCGATAACTAACTTATACGAGAGTCGCAGTGGAGGTCGACCAGATCAATGCAGCCGTATGAACAGAGGTATAAGCCATGACGATACTTACAACAAGCAGTGGAGGTCGACCGGATTGATGTAGCCGTACTTGCTGAAGAACTCGCCGAGATCTACTCTACTCCTACTCCTAAGGGTGGCCGGAGCCGAAAAAGTAAATTACTTGTGTATTGGATTGATTGATTCTTTTTACAATGGCCGAGGCTTGATATTTATACCAAGAGTCTAAACATGAATCCTACTCGAGCATGATTTGTTACCATCTTTGGCATAAATGAAAACATTCCTAACTTAAGATAACTTGGACTCTAATCTTTCCCTTTTTGTAGAGTCCAGCATGTCTCATCCCAGCGCCGATCATAGCCTCTGTCGTTATCCGCTGGCGCTATCTGAAGAAAGCCGATTCTAGTGCTGCATCCGAATCAGCTGGTTTTAATCTGCATGCAATTGATCCCTTGCTGACATGATTTTGGGAGCTCTCGAGCCCCTGAGACCCTTCTTCCAAATTTTGGTGTAAACACATGCCCCCCAATTTTGGGATAAAAGTAATTTTATTCCAAAATTATCATGTCTGTATCCCTGATTGGTCCACAGTCATGGGTAGAGAACCTTGATCTGGGGTCCACTGTTTGTCACCACTTGCGTCCATTCATGAGCCTATGCCTCAAAACTTTTTACAAGAGCGTTACTGCTTCACGGGCACTTGGATTCATCTTCCCGGGCCGGCTATAAAACGCCTATCTGACCCTGGCGAGAGCAACTTAACACTTTAGCCATGTTTTTCTCCCGTCTACTCCTTCGAGCACCTCTAGTTCCGCTGGACCCTCCATGGTCCATTCTCTTGCTATGAAGATCTTGAGCGGCTAGAAGAATTCTTGTGTATAGGGTGGTCGTGTCGCTCATTCTGGCGCCTTGTCGAGCAAGAGGATCAGCTACTACGGCTAGAAGAAGTCTTGTGATATCACCTGTGTCTTCTCCCCATGCTCGCAGAGCTATTCCAGCATTTGCAAGGGCCAAAATGTGTGGACACCTTCCCCTTGTTTGTTCCATCAAATGCCTATCGGGAAAACTACAAGCTTCTTTCCAGCGGTTTCTCAGTCACCAAGAAATCAGCTGGATATCTGCTAGGCAGGCGGCTCTTACCTTTCTTTAGCACAATCTTAGTAATGGGCCAATGTGACTTGGTTTACGATGACCCTCGGCCTTGTGGGGATCCGGACTCCCTTCAATCCAAAGAAGCCTTAGTGGGTTGATTTCTGGTCCATGTAAATTCTTTGTATCTGTCCCACGATGCTTCGCAATTTGGGGAAGCGATAAGTTCGAGTCTGTTACTTCTCTCGTTATCCGTCCCGTGAATTCCTGGAGTGTCGATCCGTCTCTATCTTTGATTTCAATTTCACACCCCCGGCGAAATCTATCTTCTTGCCTTCCTGGGCTATATATACAGGTTACCACTGTGGATCGGAGAACAACCCGCTTCGTCTCAAGCCTTATGCGTCCTTAGTATAGCTCCTGCTTTTTCGTAGGTTTGAGATTATGGAGAACAACAAGAGGTCCACTGAGGAGGTTTTCACCGGATCTACATCACCGCGCCAGCATCTTTGCCGCCAAGAGGGTACAGCTCAGGATGCTCCTACTGTTCTAGAGCAGAGGGCCGACTCTGCTCCGCCTTTGGGGTTACCGGTAGCACCAACTCATCGCCAACTCCCCTGCTATCAGAGGAGACGGATTGACAATGATGACTTTCTCGCCGCCATTGACCGTCATGACCAGGGTCTCGCTGAATATTTCTCGCTTGCGGAATCAACCCTGGCCATGGCTCGATGCCAATCGCCTCCCGAGGCTGATTGTGTGGAGGATAAGTTGGCCAGAGCCGAGGCCAGAATCGTAGGTGAGATATCATAACTTTCACTTCCTCTTAATCTCATCTTAAGGATTATGATCATTTCCTTTTTGAACCCCTTCAGATCTGTCTGCTCAACTGGAAAGCCTCTGATCAACTACAGACTACGCGGCGAGATTCATCAATGCCAGGGGCGCTGTTCCGATGATTCATTTGCATGACATCCCAAACCACGTCAGAGAGGTCACTCATCATGGTTTTTGTCATGGTGTTGCCACGGTGTTGGCTGCTGCACAAGCCCATTCTGGCTATAATCTTCGGCTTCTTCCTCATGGTTTTCCAGACGCGGTGCACCCTGGGGATCATGAACGCTTGATCGAGGATTTCCTTAGCGTCGCCAACTCCGTAGCCTTTAACACCCTGGCCGATGATGTAGTAGGAAAAGTGTTTTCTAGCCCATAACTTGTAATAGGTGATATTTAGCAAACAGTTTCCCCATCTTGAGTGATCTTTCCTTTGTCTCGTACTTCATATTATACGCATCACTCTGTCTGTGTTTG